CTATTAGGAAGTACAAACGCTGAAACTTACACTTCGAAAAAATCAGCAAGACACTCCAAAAATTGAACGAGTTTTCATGTTTGAAAGGTTGCCTAACAAGCAAAAAACAATTACGAGAAAAGATGTATCGACATTACATTGCATTGCATGTTGGCGAGAGCACCAAGGTGGATGGAAACCGACTCCTACCTGCACTGTTTGCAAGAGGAGCTGTGGTTGGCTCATTTATGATGAGCTATAGGAAGCCACGGAATTATCGGAGTCTCCATTTTGGAAAAAAAAAAGCAAATAAACAGGCCGCAACAAAGGATCAAAGTCATTGCCGGGGAGAGCGAAGAAAGGCAGTCATAAACCTAATTATGACTAATTGAGCATATTTTGAAGAATTTTACAAACTTTTTCCAGTGGATTCCAATTTGCAATGAGTCGAAGAAGATTAAAGAAAAAAGACAGGGCAGCCCGGCTAGCTCAGTCGGTAGAGCATGAGACTCTTAATCTCAGGGTCGTGGGTTCGAGCCCCACGTTGGGCGAACGTTTTCTTTTCCTTTTCATTACTATCGAGATCTCCTTACACCATCCTTCCTTGCTTCATCTGGCTTTGTGCAAGGCCAGAGCAAGGTGGAGAAGGCGATTCAGGCACTAATTCAAGAATGCAGAGCCGTAGCATGGGTAGGGCGACCGATGCACCTGCAGAATCGACTCATAATTGTTTTTTAAATACCGTAGGGAAAGTTGGCACATTGGAAGACCAGTAATTATCGATTCGGATCGTACTTGCTCGTATTTTGATACGCTTAGAGGATTTAACGCCTCCCTTGTTTCTCTGTCGACTTCACGAAATGGAAGAGGGCGAAAAAGAGGAAGTAGGCATGGCAACGCCCATTCCCCATCTTGTTTTCAAAGTGAACGAGTCAACATCTCATCGGAGCTTCCAATATTCAGAGAAAATAATTAGCATCGAATGAGATCGTACCAGGAAATCTGTGGAATATACATACCTACTCGTGTCGGCTGCAAACACATGAGCGAGAAAAACGACAACCGAACATCTAATATCAAGTGTTGCCTTGGCAACATCTTGAAATTAGATTTTACTTTTTTATTTCTTTCTTGATATTAGATCGACGCTGGAATGCGCGCTTGGAATGTATGAATTATGGAATTTCGACGATAAGATCGAGATATGTTAATACCGCAGGAAGACGATATGATATTATCCGAAGACAAATATCATGCATCTTTATGTTCTGCAGACGAATCGTGCAGGAAATGCTGCATCTTCTCCATTTGAAAGTTTCAGTTTTTAAATGCATTATATTCACGCTGTATTTAAAAGATAATACTTGAAAGAATTTAATCAGAAATTCCTTTGCGAAAGTCCTAGGTGCTTGGTGACCTTGAAGCAACTAAATCTTTGTCACCATAGCCAATTGAAGTTTACGGAGACAGAGTTTTTAGTTGACTTAAGAAACTGAGCGGTGAAGCGCGTCAGATGTATGAATGTGCATCCTCATAGATAAGATATAGCATAAAATATATCTTTTAAAATTTCCTTGTGACGAGAATTCGAGTGAGAATCTCGTCTCGGAGGTGCCCCAAACACTTTCGAATGCCAATTTCTAGGAGAGCGCCAAATCAGGTTTTCCCATCCTTCGCAGAACCTAAAATCGGGAACATGAAATCTTCATTCGGGTAGAAAGTGAATGCTTCTTGTGTAACTTTGTCATATTCAGAATTTTAGTCAGTTTCTCAACACAGGGCTTTACGCTGATAGAGCCATTCATAATTTTTCTCCAGCGTTAATATTATTGTTCGCGGTTAGAGAGAACATACGGGAGCCCGGCTAGCTCAGTCGGTAGAGCATGAGGCTTTTAATCTCAGGGTCGTGGGTTCGAGCCCCACGCCGGGCGTATTATTGATACACTTCATTGATACAGGGTTTTGCTCCTACTGGTATTGTGCAAGGCCAAAGTTCGTGCAGCTGGTAACAGAGAGCCAGTGGCACGGCACTATCTAGTATTTTAATAGCCCTTTTTCCAGGTATCACAAAATGGTCAGGCATCAGAAAATCTTTTAAACAGGTGATCTGGAGAATGTCTACAAATGTTCACTAACTGCTGATGAACATCAAGTCTTGCTGGGTCAGCCTGAGAAGGAAAGTGACAGCACACGACAATAATAATTCCTTCGCCTGAGTTCATGGCTGGAGGCTCATTGATGTGCAAGATTTGAATGGAATATGACCATAATGAATTCCAAAGTCTGGCATGCCATAAAAATATGTGACAGGTGGAACGATTAAGCTGGAGGGGTAGAACCACAATGAACAACAATGAACCACTATGTCAAATTGATTTAGAGATAGTCAATCAAAATCAAAGGAAGATACAACAATTTTGAGAGCAAAACCAAAAGAAATTCCCGTAGACAGGTAAATTATGCACGTTTTTCAGAAAGGATGCAAAAATAAATTTGCGGATTTTTAAAATCTGGAATGTAATGTAGGTTTCGCCAAGGCACTTGTTGCAGCAGTTGACAGTTCGTCATGTCGCACATCCTTGCCAGGAGCGATAAGAAGATCGGAGAGAACCCTGAAACAACCCGTTCAAACATTTCTCGCATTTGAAACGTATTGCCTTAAGCATGCCAAATTTGAAATCTAAACAAACAACAAAATATTAAACTCGTGTAATTCGGAGGAATCCAGCAGCATTTCACCAAGACGAAGGTGAGAAATAACCTACATGATCGTTTCTCATGACAGGCTGAGCTCAGTTTACAGTGTGTTGGGTGCAATTATTGTCAAAGGCGTAAATGCTTCTCTGCTTCGTCGACATCGTGGCGACACCTGGGTCCTCGAGATCATCTTAGAAGCTCTCAAGGGTCTTCTCCTCCGAGACGACTTGGTGTAGGGATCGGAAGAGGAAGTGTTCCTTGCATCCAAGCGCTGGGAGGAACACAGTCGGGAAAGAAAGGATCATTGGCCGGAGATCTTCCATGCAATCCGACTTTCACTTCTCCCCTTGGATTTTCTCAGAAAAAAACGTGATCGGAGACCCCAGCATCCGGGGTGACCGCGGAGCGACCGCGTCATAGGAGAACCAAAGGACTTCCACGTCTCAAAATTTCAGGATTTGGTGCCAGTTCACAAGAAGAGAGCAGCGCCGATCGGGAGTTCGTCTCGTCATGTCATCGACGGATCCGAGCGGGGAGGCTAGGGCTTCGGGGGCTGGAACTTCGGGGGCTGGAACTTCGGAGTCTGGGGCTACGGAGGCTGGAGCTTCGGAGTCTGGGGTTTCGCCATTTCAGTCTTCTCAAATTTTCTTTCTGGCCGAGTCGAATGCTGGCAAGAAGACGATTCCTCGCATGCATCCTGGGTCTTGGGAGTTTAACACTGTCACCGATTATCCGCATCCTGATGGAATGTTTTCCCAAAAATACCTCACTGCGATTGGGAAAAATTTGTATGTGGTCGGGAGTGAGGGACTCCTTTCCCCTCAGGTCAAATTCATGGAATTTGAAAGCGCTAGTTGGAAGACGCTGTCGCTTCCACCGGTGTCGTTGCTCTATCCCGCCTGTGCATCTTCCCCTGCGTCCCTCTTCCTCTGTAGTGGGAAGTCGGCGTGGGAGTTGGACCCTGAGAGACAGAAATGGACTCAACTGCAAAAGACCGTCTACCGGCAAGTGAAGCCGGCGACGGCGCTGCGAGGCTCCACTCTCCATCTCGTCGGCGGTGCAGAGAGTTACCAGATATTAAGGAACGTGTGGAAGGCTCACGAATGCCTCGACGTTCGGGAAGTTCGCTGGGAGAAGTTGCGCCCCCTGCCACGGAAGAGAACCTGCGCCGCCGTCGTGTTCCGCAACGAACGGCTCCACGACGCCGGGGGATGAGATTCCACGTCCCGCACGGACCGAGTCTTCTTGTACGATGAAAGAGCCAACAAATGGATGCAACTACCGAGCTTGAACATCTAGAGAATGCTCCGCGGACTCGTCTCCTTCGACGGCACTCGTTGGAAGGCGAACAGGCCTGCCTCGCCATTGGAGTCAGCCTTTAGCCGTTCAGTCTTTCGATCGCATCGAAAGTCTTCTGTCAGCATTCGAGAGCGATCGATGGAACCAGAGTTTGTGAGAACACATCCACTCGCCTGATGATTCCGCGTGACTATGTCGCACCTTGACGCCATCCCTCGACTCTTCTGGGATATGGGACCTATACAATATTCACCCGTGCAACGCCGGCTACATCTGCCAGTGGCAGATGAAAATATCGTCTTCCTGTTCCTGAAAGACAAGAGGAACGTGCTGGATCCAGAAGGAGTCGACTTCCTTCACGATAGCCCACCATGCTTACGAGCAAACGAGACACAGCAGCTGGTGAAGGACTCGAGGAAGGATTTCTCCAACAGCATAAATTGACCTGGAAGTTCCCTCGATATTAGCGCGACGGAGCATCTGGGGGCGGTTCTGAAAGACCAAGTGGAAGTTCCGTTCATGTAACGTGGACAGAATAAATGCTCGCGCCATCTCCTCATTCAGCACATAGAGGAGATTCTGAGAGAGCCGGAGTACGAGAAGGATCTCTTCGGAAACCAGCTTCGATCATACACATCGCGTTTGCAGACCATACGCCAGGCGAATGGCAGGCACACCAACTATTAATGTCATTGGATCCGGAAGAAAAATACCTTCAATGCGATGCAGTGATTTTTTTGCTTGCTACTTTCGGTTTTTTTCTGGGATCCCCATGCAGGTTTTGCAACACATTGTCCACCATATTTATTTATTTTCGTTCGATGAACGCCCACAATGAGCATTAGAGAAATGGATAACGAATAGTCATGGAGAAATCAGCCTCGCCAAATAAAATTGTTTCCGAAACCGAAGAGTAATAAAGGTTATAAACAACATAGTGATCATGAAAACCAAATGGCATCCATGAAGTCTAATACGGTGCTGCCCTCAAAGAATTCACGATTTGGCCCCTTGGCCTTTCTTTCTTATTTCGGCCGGGTGAATTTCCCGGCAGGGAAAACATCGCGAGGATCTCTGGATCGAAAAGCGGTGCCATGTGGAATCGCATCGTGCCCTTTGTGCTTGGTGTAGCTCTCCTTCTTCAAGTAGAGCTTGTATATAACTCCTTCTTCACCGGCATATGGGAGGGCTTCTTTTGGATTTGGGGTCGAGTAAACTGCTCCTGGAACAATATTGAGAATTTTCTGTCCTCAGGATGATTTCGTGGCAACAGTTCGGAAAATATTTACCAACAATGAAGGGCTCAAACGTTCGTAAAGGGTCTTAATGAATCAATAATTAATCATTAACACAAGAAAATGTGGAGCTTCATCTTCGGATGCGTCTCCTTAAGATGACGAACAAGAAAAACATAAATGGCTTCCCATTCCAGACACCATGATGCCAAATAGTATCAGTTGAGAAAATATGTATCCTATATCATTCTGACAGCACAAAAAATTCAACTAGATTCTTCCTTTTTACTCTTTCTGCCACGATATATGCAGGGAAACAAGTTTCGAACCAAAGGAAAGTTTTATATTCTCCCCGGACAATACAGATTTGGAATTGATCCTTTTCCATAAACTACTAAAGCAACTGTGATTGGAGAAACGGAAGTACAGTTTCATGTGTGCCTGCCAATTTTACCATACTGCCTAGTCCTGTAGTTTTCGTCCTAAATAACAAAGCATGAAACAGGATGGTTCTAATATTAGCCAACAGGAAGCTGCATCACAGATCACCTTGGAAGGTACAGTAACAAGTGAAAAACGGAGAAGTTACTTGTCCAAAACTACCACATTTTTTATTATCACCCTTGGATCGTCATTCGAACGCGGTTAAGCCACTAAACGGATAACCTTCGCAATTTTCCCTCGTTTGTGTGGTTAGATGGCTATCCAACGACGGTAACGTAAGGAAGCAACGAAAGAGGTTTTTGAACCTGTAACTCTTCCGTTTTTCCCAAGTTGCTTTCACTTCCAACGATCGCTAAAGTACCGGAGTCATCCTTCAGCCCGTGAAAGTCGCGGCGTCCAGGTTTCAGCTGTTTGTCCTTCTCGATGGACTTGGATCTCTCCTGGGGAGTGCCGTGGAAGGCGACGTCGTAGTCGCCTCTCTTCACGAACATCGGCACGCTGTCGGGATCGTGGCTCATTGGTTCGTATCTGTAGACCTTGGGTTTCCTGCTCCCCACTTTGAACACCTCCTCCTTTATCGGATGCCTCGCGTTCCTCGCCCCTTTCCAAATTCCGCTTCACAACCTTCAAAGGAATCCGGGGAAACATTCGAATATCACCTTGCTGAAGAAAACAGCGACGAATTTCCAAACAACAGGGCATACAATGTTACATCACTGAATATCGATACATGAAGTTAAGCTACCACCCTAAATCGTGCGAGGATGTCGGCTTGCCTGCCTGAGAAGATACAAAAACCGACGTCGGAAAGGAATTAAAACGGGGTCTCGATCGGAAATGGAACTAGATATTAAGAAATGGATACCAAAACTCACGATCAGAATGCAATATTCATAATTAAAAGCATTGACGAGTTGGACCGACGCTCCGAAATGAATAATTTTCATTGACATGGAAGTTGCAAATATTTGTTACATCATATCGTATCTTCATCGTAGGAATGAAATCATACTCTGCACCTCATATACAGGATTTGCTGATCTGAACCGTGACGTCACAGACCACTCGACTTTAAGCTGCCCCTGGAAATGACGGACCTAAAAGCATTTCACAATGTCTCGGCATTCGACGAGTTCAGCTTTCCACAGCAGCATCATGGATGAACAGAGTGCATAACCTGTATGAACAGGCGATCGCACGTAGACCGAGAAACCCGAAATGACGAGCGTTGGAACGCTCTCTTCAGACTGGTGGAAAGAGCCAATGGGTATTTACGGAATGGAGCGACTCACCATTTCCTTGGTATGACTCCCATTCTTGCAAGGACCCTCCCTTCGCAACAGCTGTTGAGGAACGACCGTGACGCGTCCGGCCTCAGTCGGTACGTCGGTGTAGGTGAGGATGGACGGGTAGAGTGAAGCCACTGCGAGGATCCCCGCCCCGACACCTTCTCAACCTCCCCTGTTCTGTCTCCTTGGCTGGACTGGCCTTGGTCTTCTATTGTTTTTCGGAATCGTGGAGGAGGGGGTGAGGGCCTTCCTGGTTCTGCTTCCAGTGGCGTTGCTACAACTTTTTTAACCCTTCCGTTACTATGGGGGTCCCCGGNACGCCCACAATGAGCATTAGAGAAATGGATAACGAATAGTCATGGAGAAATCAGCCTCGCCAAATAAAATTGTTTCCGAAACCGAAGAGTAATAAAGGTTATAAACAACATAGTGATCATGAAAACCAAATGGCATCCATGAAGTCTAATACGGTGCTGCCCTCAAAGAATTCACGATTTGGCCCCTTGGCCTTTCTTTCTTATTTCGGCCGGGTGAATTTCCCGGCAGGGAAAACATCGCGAGGATCTCTGGATCGAAAAGCGGTGCCATGTGGAATCGCATCGTGCCCTTTGTGCTTGGTGTAGCTCTCCTTCTTCAAGTAGAGCTTGTATATAACTCCTTCTTCACCGGCATATGGGAGGGCTTCTTTTGGATTTGGGGTCGAGTAAACTGCTCCTGGAACAATATTGAGAATTTTCTGTCCTCAGGATGATTTCGTGGCAACAGTTCGGAAAATATTTACCAACAATGAAGGGCTCAAACGTTCGTAAAGGGTCTTAATGAATCAATAATTAATCATTAACACAAGAAAATGTGGAGCTTCATCTTCGGATGCGTCTCCTTAAGATGACGAACAAGAAAAACATAAATGGCTTCCCATTCCAGACACCATGATGCCAAATAGTATCAGTTGAGAAAATATGTATCCTATATCATTCTGACAGCACAAAAAATTCAACTAGATTCTTCCTTTTTACTCTTTCTGCCACGATATATGCAGGGAAACAAGTTTCGAACCAAAGGAAAGTTTTATATTCTCCCCGGACAATACAGATTTGGAATTGATCCTTTTCCATAAACTACTAAAGCAACTGTGATTGGAGAAACGGAAGTACAGTTTCATGTGTGCCTGCCAATTTTACCATACTGCCTAGTCCTGTAGTTTTCGTCCTAAATAACAAAGCATGAAACAGGATGGTTCTAATATTAGCCAACAGGAAGCTGCATCACAGATCACCTTGGAAGGTACAGTAACAAGTGAAAAACGGAGAAGTTACTTGTCCAAAACTACCACATTTTTTATTATCACCCTTGGATCGTCATTCGAACGCGGTTAAGCCACTAAACGGATAACCTTCGCAATTTTCCCTCGTTTGTGTGGTTAGATGGCTATCCAACGACGGTAACGTAAGGAAGCAACGAAAGAGGTTTTTGAACCTGTAACTCTTCCGTTTTTCCCAAGTTGCTTTCACTTCCAACGATCGCTAAAGTACCGGAGTCATCCTTCAGCCCGTGAAAGTCGCGGCGTCCAGGTTTCAGCTGTTTGTCCTTCTCGATGGACTTGGATCTCTCCTGGGGAGTGCCGTGGAAGGCGACATCGTAGTCGCCTCTCTTCACGAACATCGGCACGCTGTCGGGATCGTGGCTCATTGGTTCGTATCTGTAGACCTTGGGTTTCCTGCTCCCCACTTTGAACACCTCCTCCTTTATCGGATGCCTCGCGTTCCTCGCCCCTTTCCAAATTCCGCTTCACAACCTTCAAAGGAATCCGGGGAAACATTCGAATATCACCTTGCTGAAGAAAACAGAGACGAATTTCCAAACAACAACAGGGCATACAATGTTACATCACTGAATATCGATACATGAAGTTAAGCTACCACCGTAAATCGTGCGAGGATGTCGGCTTGCCTGCCTGAGAAGATACAAAAACCGACGTCGGAAAGGAATTAAAACGGGGTCTCGATCGGAAATGGAACTAGATATTAAGGAATGGATACCAAAACTCACGATCAGAATTCAATATTCATAATTAAAAGCATTGACGAGTTGGACCGACGCCCCGAAATGAATAATTTTCATTGACATGGAAGTTGCAAAGATTTGTTACATCATATCGTATCTTCATCGTAGAAATGAAATCGTACTCTGCACCTCATATACAGGATTTGCTGATCTGAACCGTGACGTCACAGACCACTCGACTTTAAGTTGCCCCTGGAAATGACGGACCAAAAGCATTTCACAATGTCTCGGCATTCGACGAGTTCAGCTTTCCACAACAGCATCATGGATGAACAGAGTGCATAACCTGTATGAACAGGCGATCGCACGTAGACCGAGAAACTCGAAATGACGAGCGTTGGAACGCTCTCTTCAGACTGGTGGAAAGAGTCAATGGGTATTTACGGAATGGAGCGACTCACCATTTCCTTGGTATGACTCCCATTCTTGCAAGGACCCTCCCTTCGCAACAGCTGTTGAGGAACGACCCACTGCGCAGGCCGGAGTCAGCCATGCAGCCACATCCACTCCTACCTGCCCATCTCACTTCGGTGACGCTCCTAGGGGCGGGGCTGTGGAAGAGTTGGAGGGGACAAGACAGAGGAACCGACCTGACCCCTTGGTCTTCTATTGTTTTTCGGAATCGTGGAGGAGGGGGTGAGGGCCTTCCTGGTTCTGCTTCCAGTGGCGTTGCTACAACTTTTTTAACCCTTCCGTTACTATGGGGGTCCCCGGCGTCCTTTGAACTTTTCCTTAATACTACCTTAGAAATAAAGTTCATCAATTTGTGTTTTTTTTTCTACCTGCGTTTAAATATGCAATTTTGATATCATCAGCGAATAATTTTTCCCTATAAATATTAGGCTGGGGTACTTCAAGTTCCCCCCTTAGGAAAAAGTAATCACTGAAGAACTCAGTTTTTTTTTTCTACCTGCGTTTAAATATGCAATTTTGATATCATCAGCGAATAATTTTTCCCTATAAATATTAGGCTGGGGTACTTCAAGTTCCCCCCTTAGGAAAAAGTAATCACTGAAGAACTCAATAACGGAAGGGTTTACTGAGGTCGCTGCGCTTTCAATGATGAGGTAATGCATTAACCAAACTTATAACGTGAGCAAATATTTGCTAGAAAATTAATATCAAATATTGATAGAAAACATTTACTCAGCCTATTTGTCAAATATTGGAATGGACTACTGGCCAATCAGCGAAAGATTAGTTTGTAGATTGAGAGAAATCTCAGTATTTTGAACAATCTGGTCACGGAGAGCTCGAGATCACTCGTTTGTGGCACCCCATCTGGCCCCTCATGTGGCCCCCCATGCCCCCATCCTTGAAGACGCCACTGCCGATTCCGAGAAGCTGAAACCGTCGATGTCACGTTCATTCTGTCTCCGCGTGCTCGAGGAAAAAAACAAGCAAAAGGGCATCGTCGTGCAGTGAAATACCAAGTGAGGCAAAAAAGTCGCTCTTTCGGGTTCTTATATTTTCATGAGAAAGCAGACAGTGAGAAAACTTTTTTTTATTTATACAAGAACGTCCACGTATCCTTTAACCCTTTGAGCCGCGAATTTACAATTTCTGATGTCATCATTTTTCTTTCATAGAACCTGTCAATTCCAACAAAGTGATTTCAAAGTTTCGAATTATACCCCTAGATCTGTGGTCAGCCATTACAAGTGGTTTCGCCTTGAAATCACCGTTCCTAGGGCAGGGAGAAAATAATGTAAAATAAAGTAATGGTGGTTACACCGTGTAACCACCTCGCCTCAAAGGGTGATGTGATGTGTTTGTTCCTTTTTCTCCAGCACATGAGCGATGAAGGGAAAGCAACTCCAGTTTAATAGATTAATACATTAATACTAGCCGAAACTGAAGGAAACCACGTTTATGTGGAACAAGTCATTTTTTTCTCAATATGATAGTCCCAGGATCAAAAATTCCCATCTGCAATTTGCCAGACGGGGACGAGTCAGAAATTTACTTAGCGGATTCTCAAGTGCAAAGGGAAAATCCTTGGAAAAGAATTTCCCCTTCCGCCTGTCAGTGCTGGCCAGGTCCTCCCGTCAGTGGGGGCAGGTGCAAGCGTAAAAATAAATTTACAGTTGCTCCTGTAAAGCTCCTGTAATATCACTCATGTGTTAAAACGGCTCAAGATGATTGGATGAAAATGTTATGATGCTCAAAGGGTAGGCCTACATGAAGTAATGCGTATAACAATTTTAATTGGCTTTCTCTTTCTTCATGAGGGAAAGCCATCGAGTCAAAAGCTCCCTCTTCGGGACTCACTAACGTTAGGCCTAGGCGTAACGAACAAACTGCCTTCGAGTCACGCCAAAGTCTGCCATTTTCTTTTAAATAAAAAATTAATTCTCGACTGACGGGTCCAATTATACCTATGAGGGTGAATCTGTCGCATTCGTGACATCTCGTTGAGGACGTGTAACGCTAAGCCAAATGCATGCTTATTCATACGTTCACCAACCATTTGAATGGGATGTGGAACGTTAGGCTGATCTGGAGTTCCTTGAACCATCTCGACTAGGTCAGAGGAGAGAATGCCTAGCAGGAGCATGGAATCCATGGTACGGGCCATCCTCTTAATTCAAGGATGGCCGGATAACATATCTGCATATCCCAACACGTCGATCAATAACTGCTAACCACCGCTTCTTTCTCAGCGCAACTCATAAACTCAGCATGAAATTGCCTCATGAATTAAGAAACAGAAGATTCTGACTTCGTTACTATGGTCGAAACAGTCTTGAATCTAGCATAATTTCGAGACGGTATCCGGCAACACTGGGGGACGGTATCGGTGCAAGCACTCTAATCCTAATTGAACGACAGCAAATTTCATTTTAAATGGCGATATGGAGCATCGCAAACAACAAATAAGCCACTTTCGTCATCTCCAAGTCAATATCTTTCCTATGGTTGTTCTCTTTCCTTCAAAAAAACCCAAGAATGGCTACTCAGGGGAGGAAAAAAAAAAGGAATGAAATTGACATCCTCCAAAAACGAGATTCAGTGTTCTCAACAACCCCTGGGAAGTGGAGATTCGAAATTGTTCTGAAGCGATTCTGTGGTGGAGGAAGAAGTATGCCAAAATTTCGTTCCTATTGATGCTCTCAGAGAGGAATACGAGGAGATTGAATTTTGCTGCGTGAAGGGGTTCAAGAAAGGTAAGAGACCCCTCAGCGCTCATTGATAAAAGAAAAATCAGTTGTGGGATTCCAGGAGATGGAAACTCGAATTCCGAGGCACCGAGAACTCTTAGGAAGATGGAAAAATGCATAAAATACAAGAAGTCGAGCGAATGGAGAGGGAAAGNGTTTTTTTTTTCTACCTGCGTTTAAATATGCAATTTTGATATCATCAGCGAATAATTTTTCCCTATAAATATTAGGCTGGGGTACTTCAAGTTCCCCCCTTAGGAAAAAGTAATCACTGAAGAACTCTATAACGGAAGGGTTCACTGAGGTCGCTGCGCTTTCAATGATGAGGTAATGCATTATCAAAACCTATAACGTGAGCAAATATTTGCTTGAAAATTAATATCAAATATTGATAGAAAATATTTACTCAGCCTATTTGTCAAATATTGGAATGGACTACTGGCCAATCAGCGAAAGATTAGTTTGTAGATTGAGAGAAATCTCAGTATTTTGAACAATATGGTCACAGAGAGCTCGAGATCACTCGTTTGTGGCCCCCCATCTGGCCCCTCATGTGGCCCCCCCATGCCCCCATCCTTGAAGACGCCACTGCCCGATTCCGAGAAGCTGAAACCGTCGATGTCACGTTCATTCTGTCTCCGCGTGCTCGAGGAAAAAAACAAGCAAAAGGGCATCGTCGTGCAGTGAAATACCAAGTGAGGCAAAAAAGTCGCTCTTTCGGGTTCTTATATTTTCATGAGAAAGCAGACAGTGAGAAAACTTTTTTTTATTTATACAAGAACGTCCACGTATCCTTTAACCCTTTGAGCCGCGAATTTACAATTTCTGATGTCATCATTTTTCTTTCATAGAACCTGTCAATTCCAACAAAGTGATTTCAAAGTTTCGAATTATACCCCTAGATCTGTGGTCAGCCATTACAAGTGGTTTCGCCTTGAAATCACCGTTCCTAGGGCAGGGAGAAAATAATGTAAAATAAAGTAATGGTGGTTACACCGTGTAACCACCTCGCCTCAAAGGGTGATGTGATGTGTTTGTTCCTTTTTCTCCAGCACATGAGCGATGAAGGGAAAGCAACTCCAGTTTAATAGATTAATACATTAATACTAGCCGAAACTGAAGGAAACCACGTTTATGTGGAACAAGTCATTTTTTTCTCAATATGATAGTCCCAGGATCAAAAATTCCCATCTGCAATTTGCCAGACGGGGACGAGTCAGAAATTTACTTAGCGGATTCTCAAGTGCAAAGGGAAAATCCTTGGAAAAGAATTTCCCCTTCCGCCTGTCAGTGCTGGCCAGGTCCTCCCGTCAGTGGGGGCAGGTGCAAGCGTAAAAATAAATTTACAGTTGCTCCTGTAAAGCTCCTGTAATATCACTCATGTGTTAAAACGGCTCAAGATGATTGGATGAAAATGTTATGATGCTCAAAGGGTAGGCCTACATGAAGTAATGCGTATAACAA